CATATACATCTTAAATAAATACATTTGCACAGGTAAACAATTCCCTATAGGCTTGACAGGACAATAGGCTGGTTTGTTTGAGGAAAAGTATGCTGTAGTGAAAAATCATGTATCTCCCTCTGTGACTCATATGCTCTGTGTGCTCAGCATACACCTCTGTCAATATAAAATTGTTTCTAAAAACACTTCATTAATAGTTGGGCAGAGACATTTAAAAAGCAGAGATATCACCTTGACAACAAAGGTCGGTATAGTTTTCCCAGTAGCAATGTATGGAAGTGAGAGCTGGACCATAAAGAAGGCTGATCGCCAAAGAATTGATGCTTTTGAATTATGGAGCTGGAGGAGACTCTTGAAAGTCCCATTGACTGCAAGAAGATCCAACCTCTCCATTCTTAAGGAAATCAGCTCTGAGTGCTCACTGGAAGGCTAGATCCTGAAGCTGAGACTCCAATACTTTGGCCACCTCATGAGAAGAGAAGACTCCCTGGAAAAGACCCTGATATTGTGAAAGATGGAGGGCACAAGGAGAAGGGGATGACAGAGGACGAGGTGGTTGGATAGTGTTCTCGAAGCTACCAGCATGAGTTTGACGAAACTGTGGGAGGCAGTGGAAGACAGGAGTGCCTGGCGTGCTCTGGTCCATGAGGTCACGAAGAGTCGGACACGACTAAACGACTAAACAACAACAACAATAGTTGGGTAGTGGGTTGAAGTCATCAATGCTTGATTGGAGCCCAGGAAGCTGTAGAACAAAAATACCACTTACAGTAGCAATTCGGCAGGATGATAAATTGTATCTGCAGATAAGCTTGTGAAGGAAATGACCAGTGCTTCTACAACAGAAGAACCCTTTTCCATTTTGACCCCAGTTGACTTTTCCTTGGCGTAATAAGTTAAAAAAGGAGGAAATGGAAGTTTTCTCATCTAGTCTACCACATCGTCTACCACAATTCACATGTAGCTTCTATGGGGCTATCTAAACATCCTGCTATCTAGTTTAGATAGTCCTGCTATCTAAACATCTCAACTCTTCATCTACAGCAGGCATGGCCAAACTTGGGCCTCCAGCAGTTTTGGGACTACAACTCCATCATCCCTAGCTAACAGGACCAGGGGTCAGGGATGATGGGAATTGTAGTCCCAAAACAGTTGGAGAGCCACGTTTGGCCATGCCTGATCTAGAGTTTCTGCAGATTTAAGTTGGAACTCTGTTGTGCCCTCTACTGCTGAACTATGGAACCTCCCATAATTGATTTCTTTTTAGCCCACATCCCAACAATTCCCTAAATATCATACAGAGTTCATTCTTCATAAATACTGGATCAAAGTGAATATAAGAAAGTTCAGCTTTATCTTCTGCCAGTGGTTCTCCTTCTGAGGTCAACTACAAACGAGCTGTATCTATTGACCTGAGATGGAAATTCTGTTTTATAAATTGTGGGTTCTCTTACTTTATATCATGTGTATTATTGCATAGTATGTTCAGTGTACAGCATACTCTGCAATGTTTTGCATCACTAAAACTTACAAATTGGGCTTCATTCCCTAATAGCTTGTGGCTTGAAATACCAGCAATGTGCTTATTAAAGTATCTTTGAACAGTTTGGGCATCTCTGGAGCAAGGCCAGCCATGGATGTTTTGCCAGCAGAGGCAAGACAGAAATTGCTGCCTGGTCTCCCCCTCCCCCTCTGTGCACCCAACGTGCATTAGATGTCAATCAGGCAAAGGCCTGGTTAAAGAGGAACTCTTTTTATTTATTATTATTTATTATAAAAGGTAAAGGGACCCCTGACCATTAGGTCCAGTCGTGGCCGACTCTGGGGTTGCAGCGCTCATCTCGCTTTATTGGCCGAGGGAGCCGGCATACAGCTTCCGGGTCATGTGGCCAGAATGACTAAGCCGCTTCTGGCGAACCAGAGCAGCGCACGGAAACGCCATTTACCTTCCCGCCGGAGCGGTATCTATTTATCTACTTGTACTTTGATGTGCTTTCAAACTGCTAGGTTGGCAGGAGCAGGGACTGAGCAACAGGAGCTCACTCCATCATGGGGATTCGAACCGCCGACCTTCTGATCGGCAAGTCCTAGGCTCTGTGGTTTAACCCACAGTGCCACCCACGTCCCATTATTTATTTATTATACTTATTATTTATTATACTTGTCTTGTAAAGGCCAAGCTAGATGTGAGGGGACATGGAATTAATTTTGTAGATACAGTTATGTGCACTTAAATAAATTTGTAAATAGCATCCATAGGAAGCCTCCAAGTTGTTGGGAATTGGGATCTGGGACTGCTTTCCACTCTCCAAACCATTACTTCTCTGAAGAGTTTTACATTTTAATGGAAGTCCTCATTGGTCCTAAATATCAATTACAGGTATAGTACGTATGTAGTCTCTGTTTCAAAATGTCAAGGCAATCACCCTTATTTCTTCAAGCTGTTCTTCTTACAGCAAGATTACTCTGAGGTGCTTTATTTACATATTTATTTACATAGATGAATGATTCAGATGCATATGTGTCTAGAATAAATGTCTAGAGTTGCATGACACTGAGATGTGACTGAGAATGTATGTTAGCATTTCTAGGGAGAGAGAGAAATTATTGTGCTGTCTTGACACTTTGTTTAACACTTTCTTTTGAAAACATTAGCATGCTTTATCATCCATTTTACTCTTTTGTTTTGTCTTTCCCCCCCCCTTTCCACTCATGCAGTCAAATGCCGGCGATGACCAGACACTAACGGTAGGCAGTAGCAAGTGTCTTTGTATATCTAGTCATTTTGATTCTAAAATGCATAGTCAGTTTTTTTTATTATATATGTGAAGATGTAATTGTAAAACTTAGAATTCTAGTGCTAAAACTATTTATGGGATTTTACTTTTGCATTTTATTGGAAGATGGATGCATATAGAGAGGGATTGCATCCAACTAAGTTTTATTCAAGTTTTATTCACAGTTGGCCTGTTGAAATGAATGATCCTTAGTTAGGTATGCTCTTTAATTTCAATAGGTCTACTGTCAAGTATGACTTAGGACTGGATACAAGTCAGAGTCTGCCATTTTTCCTTGGCCTTAATCACCAAGCCACATACAGTCATACCTCGGGTTACAGACGCTTCAGGTTGCGTTTTCTTGGGTTACGGACCACCGAAATCCAGCAGTACCGAAATGGGTTACTTTCGGGTTTCGGCAGTCGTGCATGCGCAGAAGGACTAAATCGCGCTTTGTGCATGCGCAGAAGTGCTGAAACGCAACCCGAATGTGCACAGACGCACCGCTGCGGGTTGCGAACGTGCATCCCGCACAGATCACGTTCGCAACCCGAGCGACCACTGTATTGTAGTTGCTTGCCCCTCTCCTTGCAGTTTTTCAGCCCACAAGAAACCAAGGTGTAGAAGCTGTCTGGCCCAGTTTAGGTGAAGAACTTCACTTTCATTGGCTAACTGGCAGCCAAGGACACATTTCCCTTTCCTTTGATAGCTAACTCTCTTTAAATGCCTGTTCATTCATTCATTTCACCTCAGTGGATACGGTTTTGTGAATGTGTTTGCCCAGGTCATGCTTAGCTCCTCTCCCAGCGCTCATGTGCCTAACCAAACCCCCCTGGTTATAAAAGAATTGCCCTGCAGGTTATTTTTTTCTTTTCTTTTTCACCAACTGCTCGTATATCTTACAGTCATCCGTATTTCCAGAGTTATAATTCCACCTACAATACTGCAGTGAGTCAGAAGAATGAATTGCATATGAATATGGAAATCATGTTAAGAACTTCATTGCTTTTCCATAGGTCTGGTTCACATGTCACTTAAAAAGCAGGGGTCGGCAAAGTTTTTGTGGCTTGGGCCGGAGTGCGCATGCATGCGCAAATGCTATTTCCGGCGCTCCTTCCCATGCGGAGGAGGCTTGCGCAGCTTCCCATTGGCTGCAGGAGCTTCCTGCAGCCAATGGGAAGCCGGCCAGCATCGCGGAAGGCGGTCCCCGCTTTGCTCCGTGCCGGTTTAGCGTGGTGCATGGGAGCCAACCAAGCAGACGGCGAGGGTGCACGGGCCTTACGTAGCCAACCCCTGCTTTAAAGCACGGTTGAAATAAAACTACCACACTATTCAAAAGTTCCAGTTTTCCTCCTTTTGCTGCACCAAAAAGGAATCAAACCACACTGGTCATAGCACAACATGCAAACCCTTCAAGTATCCCATTTTTCCAGGGGCAATCTCAGAATTTCAGAAGCCGTCCCAGTTTCTGATTTGATCTTGAATGTCCCAGTTGTCCTTTTTTTACTCCCCTCCACAAATGCCCACTCCTGCCACAAACCAGTAAGGGGGAAGAGTTACCTTGGTAGATGTCTGGTCTTGTTTTTAGACCAATTTGGAGCCTTCATTTTGCTCAATATCTCTGTTGTGGGCTGGAAGAGGCCCCTTCTTCAATGGCCACAACTAACTTGTCATTTGCTCTTAAGGTACTGGTGTTTATGAGGTTTATATAATGTGACCCAGGGACTGAAAACCTAGCTTTATGTGAAGTATTTAAGACTGTATTCTCTTATTTTTTTTAAAAAAAATGATATTTACTAAGTTTTCCATTGTAACCATCCAATAAACACCACATTAAAACATTCCAAATTATAATACAATTAAAAAAGCCGAGCAGCTATGCCAAATTATATATCTTTGGGTGACTTCCCATGCTCTGAAGTTCGGGGAGTGATGATCTAATATTGCACTTCATTCCTTAATTAGTCCAAATAGTCCTGATAAACATTTCCGATATTGATCCTTCGTTTATTTTTAACAGCCTCTGAATTCGTTTAGCAAGCGGGTTAGTCCTGACTGTACGACCTTATTGTGTTATCTAATTATTTTCCTAAAATATGTAAAAAATAACAATACCTGCTTTAATATACATAGTAGGGAGGAGTCACAGCGTTGTAGTACATGAAGTAAATTTACTTTCCGAACAGGATTTAAATAGTTTTTCCCCCCTCTTTCTCCCTTTAGACTAAGCCCCGTCTCCAGCGTGGTGGGAGCTCTGCATCTCTGCACAACAGTCTAATGAGGAACAGCATTTTCCAGCTTATGATTCACACTCTTGATCCACTTGCTGAAGGTATCGCTTCAACGTGTTTTTTTCCTCTGTTGCTTTTCTTTCCCTCTTGTTAATTTTATTTAAAATTGCCTTCTGCAGCTAATGATTCTTTTCTCCTGTTCTCTTCGGGCACAGTTGACAAAATGGGTGCTTTCTTTTCATCTCAGTAGGGCTTCCACACGTGCAAAAACCTCCCATTCACAAACATTGGTTTAAAATCAGCCTTCTAAACAAGGCCCTGCTGAAACAATTCCTCTTCCTTCAGATAAAATAGACAAATGTAGACACAGCCCTGTTTGTGTGTTTTGTATGTATGCAGCTGTGTGTGTGTGTGTGTGTGTGTGTGTGTGTGTGTGTGTGTGTGTGTTCTTAAGTCTTGGCTTTAGCTTTTCATACAGATTATGTCTTCTGAAATAACGCTTGCATTTGCAAGGCTCGAATTTCTCCAAAAATAAGTAATCGTACGTTAGCAAACTATGAGAATATTCTCATAATTTGCTTACTCAAGTGATTGCAAAATTTAAATTGCTCTGTATCAGAAGCGCAAGGAATTTGGGTTTCACTTGAAAACTTTTTAATTACTTAAAAAAAAAGGTGAATACTCCACATCTCTTTGAAACAAAGATCTTGGTTTTTTTTGTCATTTTTAACCAAATGATGTAACGTTCACCAGTCTTAAAGGAAAAGCTGCTACTCTTTCATTCCTTACGTTCTAAGCATTACCAAGTCTCCGCTCAGATAAGTACATGTGCTTGAAAATGTTGTCAGAAGCGATTGGGACTCTCTTGATTGTATAAAGCTTTGCAACTGCCACTGAAAGCTTTGCAGCTGCTCAGTTGAAATTAACTTTGCCAGTAATAATCTGTCTGGACTGTGAAGGTTAGCTTTTAAAAAATAAATAAGATTCATATCTTCTGTCATCTTACTAAAAGAAGCAAACAAACCCCAAGACACCCAACCAAATTGTATAATTTGTCTCCTTTTATATTTCTTTGTTTTCTCCTTCAAAGCATAGCTCTGCATCTGTCTTGCATCATCTGCCCTAAGCAGCTGCTGTGTAGCCTTTCAGAACCATTTTTTAAAAACATAACACAGTGTTGAAGGAGGTTTGCCGTATTTTTTGCTCTATAAGACTCACTTTTTCCCTCCTAAAAAGTAAGGGGAAATGTGTGTGCGTCTTATGCAGGCTGTACAGCTATCACAGAAGCCAGAACAGCAAGAGGGATTGCTGCTTTCACTGCGCAGCGATCCCTCTTGCTGTTCTGGCTTCTGAGATTCAGAATATTTTTTTTCTTGTTTTCCTCCTCCAAAAACTAGGTGCGTCTTGTGGTCTGGTGCGTCTTATAGAGCAAAAAATACGGGTACTTCTCCTCTCCTGTCACAAAAGTATTTAGATGGATATTCCAGAAATCCAGTATCAGCACTCATTTATTGGTGGGCCATGACCAACAACTAGCTTATGCCTTACCCTAAATTTGCACCTGCGAAAGCACCACCATCTTCTTAAAGTCTTCTTAAAAGGTTGAGGGGGAAAGCATGGGAGATCAGGCAGGAGGGAGACAAGAGAAGGGGAAAGCTGAATAAAAATTAATATTCAGTCTGCATTATAAGCCAAGAACAGAAATGCGTGTATTCAAAAATTGGGTGATCTTATTCTGATCTTGAAATATTATTTTAGCAAAACTATAAATCCTGCAGGTGATGCGGTCATCTAGTTGTGAGATGATAATGACAATTGTGATTAAAGTTACCAAGGCGCTGCATAAAGATTTTATTTTTTTAAGTACAGCTCCTTTATACAAGCTTACGGTCTAGTAGATACAATACAAAAGGGGAAAGGGGTTGAGAGTTCAAACTGGTACTGCTAAAAAATTTATTCATTTTGTAACACAAATGAATAACAAAAACAAACAATACAAACAAATTCTTATCTTATTTTTTCTAAACATTGTTGGGTGAACTTCTCCAAGTCCCCCCTACCTGATTTTCATTTTAACTCATCTTTAGCAGATTACATATATCATAATTTGTAACCATTTTTTTTATCACACTTGCTTTTACCATAAAAATCTTCATATTTTATCCCTTACAAATAATACTATTTAAAAATAAATTATCTTCTACTTCTAACCCTACAGCCTATATCCACTTCCAAAGCTATTCTAATAGTTAAATAGTAACATGTTTTTTCAAATACAGTGGTGCCCCGCAAGACGAATGCCTCGCAAGGCGAAAAACTCGCTAGACGAAAGGGTTTTCCGTTTTTTGAGTCGTTCCGCAAGACGAATTTCCCTATGGGCTTGCTTCGCAAGACAAAACATCTTGCGAGTTCTTGCGAGTTTGTTTCCTTTTTCTTAAAGCCGCTAAGCCGTTAATAGCTGCTAAGCCGTTAATAGCCGCTAAGCCGCTAATAGCCGCTAAGCCGCTAAGCCATTAATAGCCGCTAAGCCGCTAATAGCCGCTAAGCCGCTAATAGCCGTGCTTCACAAGACGAAAAAACCGCAAGACGAAGAGACTCGCGGAACGGATTAATTTCGTCTTGCGAGGCACCACTGTAGTCTTTAAACTTCTTCCAGTCTTCTTCCACCGTCTCTTCTCTCTGGTCTCAGAGTCTCCCAGTCAGTTCTGCAAGTTCCATATAGTCCAGTGGTCCCGCTAACGTTACACGTGTTGAACCATCAGGTGGGATGGCCACTGAGGGAGATGGTTTGGGGAGAGCCACTGCTTTTTCATCTATTGTACTAATAATAGCATTAACTTAGGACATTTATTAAGGATTAAAGTATTCCTCAGGCCATTAAGTTATCCTGGGTAATTGTTTGTCTTCTGGGAATCTAAAGCATTCATAAAGTGCTTTAGAGTGTTCAAAATGCTTCGCATACATTAAATTGTGCCAAAAAGGGAGGCACGATTATCTCCATATTACAGTTACAGAGAGAGGGACTGAGAGATAATGGCTTGCTTAAGAAAATGAGCTTTATTTGTATCTGTCTCACCCTTCACTACTGCATTTACAGGCAGCTGACATCTTATGACTATAAACAAACATAATAAAATTATGACAATAGATAAAAATTACAACAGTAAACCACCAAACATTAAAGCTAGGAATTTCCTGATTTGTAGCTCATTTTCATGCAGCACAAGTCTATGCCTGTTTACGCAAAACTAAGTCCCACAGTGCTCAATGGAACTTACATCCAGGGCAGAAATGACTGGCAGAATCCGAGACCTGGGAGAAGAGCTGGTGGAAGAGGACTGGAAGAAATTTAAAGACTACTTGCAAAAGCATTGTAAACTGTATGAATGTTAGAATGATGCAGGATATAAAGATAATATGGCATTAGTGACATAGCTGAAAGGAATATACAAAAACTGGTGTATAAGAACAAAGGTGAAGTTAGAATAATGTTATGTCAAACTCAAATAACTGATAATAAAGGGAAAAATTGGAGACATAATAGTTGAAATGTATAATACAAAATAAGATTTGAAAGAGGGTGAAGTATTGCTGAATAAGATTTTGTAAAAGGGAACACAGAAAAGGGAGATGTGAGGAAGTCTGGAAGGAGGGTTATGAAAATAATATCTAAGAAATTGGTTTTTTATGTTTTTTTCCCATGTCTTTTTTCTTCTATCTTGTATGGGGGTTTTTTATTGTACTTTTTTCTTTTTTGGCTTTTTTGATTGATTGCGATGGTGTTTTTTCTTTTTGGTTGTGAATGTGAAGTTTGTTTTATTGTCTAAAACTTTAATAAATATCTTTTTTTTTAAAAAAAGGAACTTACATCCAGGAAAAGCGTGTAATAAAAAATTGTGTCCTTAGCTATCTTGCCATATCAGGACATCACTTGATTCTTAAGTCCTTTTAATCCACTGGCATTATTTAAACTTTGCAAGAAATTTGCAGGATAAGTTATCACATCTTGAAGCATTTTTTTTTTAATTCGTAAAAAGAACCATATAAATATGTGATTATTTAAGTGTACTTTCACCCCATTCCGTCTTAATCCCCAAACTTACAAATGTGTACAGGTAACTTTAATCTTAAACTTATTTTACTTATGCAGTTGCGATTTTGTGCGGGTGAGCAGAGGAAACCCAGTCTCCATTTATTTGTTTCCCCACAGGCAACTGCACCAAGCTCCTATTGCAGCACCCCAGGTGTCAGGCTTTGGCAGGTGTCTTAGAGAGCCAGTGTGGTGTAGTGGTTAAGAGCGGTGGACTCGTAATCTGGTGAACCAGGTTCGCTTCCCTGTTCCTCCACATACAGCTGCTGGGTGACCTTGGGCTAGTCACACTTCTCTGGAGTCTCTCAGCCTCACTCACCTCACAGAGTGTTTGTTGTGGGGGAGGAAGGGAAAGGAGATTGTTAGCCACTTTGAGACTCCTTAGGGTAGTGATAAAGCGGGGTATCAAATCCAAACTCCTCCTCTTCTTCTTCTTCTTCTTCTTCGAGCCCACTGGCCTCTGTCCCCAAGCTGGGCAGGTGCTTACTAGGCTTTGGGAAGGAGGAGGGAGGACTCAGGGACTCTGCCAGAGTCCTCACACCTGCTTCCCAAAGCCAGGCAAGCACTTACTGAATTTTGGGAAGGCGGCAGGAGGGCTTCGGGACCTTGTCAGAGTGGAGTGTTTTTTCAACTTTCAAATTCCAAAAATGTGGGGTGCTAAAAAGTTGCAACATTGCCACTTCCAGGGAGGAAAGGTGGCGGACTAGTCATGGACTGCTGACACTCCTGTCGGCAGAGATAATTATGTTGTGATTGAGATAACCAAGGTATGAAGCTTCGTTACCAAAATTCCCCTTTAAGATAAGGGAGTTCAGCAATGAGCATCACATGCTCAGAAGAAGATGTTCATCATGCCAGAGACAGAAGCTTTCGGGAGTGGAGGATCATCTAGAGAGAGGAACAGTCATTGGGTCCATGCATCGCATAATAACCCTTAAATTAGGCCACTGGGTCAGCGAAACCTCCTTCTTTTCGCTATTACTAAGATTGGAAGTTAATATGCGTTTGATT